CCCCGACGCCCACCAGCAGCGCGTGGCCGCGGTCCAGGCGGATGATGCGGTGCACGCGCGTCAGGTGCTCCAGGGCGTCGTCGAACAGCACCAGGTCCATGCGGGTGTTGCTCTCGTTGTACTCCTCCAGGATCTCCTGCGGGACCGTTCAGAGGGTGAGGCCGGGCTCCCTCCTGCTGCCCCGGGGGGACGAGGAGTGGAGGGGACACTCCTCTCCGTGCCTGAGGGCTGAGGAGTGAGATCACGTGGGTTTAGGGGCCTGAGTCCAGCATTCACGATGGAGGCTTCCATTGCTGGCTGGTGGTGGAGCCCACGCTGGTTGCAAGGCTCCACTCGGGAGAGTGGTTCCCGAACCTGGCGATGCACCTGCACCCGGGGCCTCCCTGGCTCGATGGAGGGACTCTCGGGGTGAGCCGAGGGGTCTGTTTCACACACTCCTCCGGTAATTCCCACGCCCCCCAGGACACGGACACGGCCGGAGGGACACCAGCCCCGCCCGCACCTGGAACAGAGCCTTGGCCGCCTCGTAGTCCTGGATGTCTTCGTAAATGCGCTCCTCCTCCTCGTGCAGCGCCATGCGGAAGTCCCCGAACAGGATGGGGTTCCGCATCACCACCTCCACGTCGTCCTTGAAGTGCTCCCTGACCAGGTCTGATATGTACTCTTGCACCTGCGACAGGGGCCAGTAACGACCCACCCCCCGCACCGCGCCCACACTGACGGGAGAGGCACAACCCGGTCCTGCAGGCCGTTCCCTCCCAAACGCGACCAGGCGCTCACTGGCCCACCCTCCTCGACGCCAGCCTCTATCTTCAGTGTCTATTCGCTACATAACAACACATGGGGCTTTCTGCTCCACCTCCCCCACCCCGGGACCCGCGGGCCGGGCGGCATCTGTGTGGCTCTGAGCACGGACCAGCTCCTTGTCGTCTTCGTTGATCAGCCGGTCATGGAAGACACGCAGGCACTCGTTCCTCCAGACTCTCACCATCTGGGCCACCGTCTGGAACCTGCGATGGAAGGGCCGCCATCAGCCACGAGGCATCGCAGACGCGGGCTGAGGCTCCTGTCTCGGTGAGTTCCCGGGTGCGGAGAGGACAGCCTCCCTGTGGGCCTCCTCGCCCCTCCCGCTGGGCTCACAGGAATGGGGCTAACCACAGCCGGCACGTTCCCTGTGAAGAGCGTAAGGTGGTGTCTAGAGCGCGCCCTCCGGGAGGGAGGAGAAGGCGCTGTCTCTAAAGGACGCACGTGGCACGGGATGCGCACCCGCCGGCTCCGCGGCTGGGACCGGGATCCACAACCAGCATCGGCCCAGCAGCGCCCCCTTCTCAGAGCAGCTCCTTCCCGCCCGGACCCGACTTCCTCTGGACTCCGGCAAAGAGCCCTCACGCCGCCCCGAACGCCTGGAGCGGCCCGCTCCTGAGCTGCCAGTCCGAACCCCACGAGGGCGCCAGGTCTGTCTGGGCTGGTGTGGAGTCCTTAGCCCGTCTATAGGATGCGGACTCATCATGTGACTCTACGCTTGCAGATCCATGTGAAGTGTTCATTGGTGCAAATACATACACACACAGATACACGAAATAAAAATAAAGAAAATACACAAGCCCAGTGTGACGGAGAAAACGTGTGTGACCAGCTCACATCCTCTGTGCTTGCTTCTCCCAAAGACACACAGCTCACCGACTTCAACTGCCAACGGTCCCGTGGCAGCAGCGAGAGGAACACGGGCGCGTTCAGACGGGGAGTGGGGACTAAGAGCGAGAGGGCAGCAGAGCGGTCGACCCATTCCTGTCCCTCCACCTTCGACCCAAGGGCGGACGAGGCGGGGTGAGGTAAACCAAGGCCCTGAGCCCACTGTGCACGGGCTGACGGGACGTGGCGCCGAGTCCTTGTCCTAAAGGAACAGCAGAGCCCCGGTTGCGCACATGCCGGCGAGACACGCTGACTCACCGCTCGGGGTTGGTGAGGACCAGCCCGTGGAACACCCGCGAGAGGTCGCGCAGGTTGAAGATGTAGTGGAACTTGGACGGGGTGGGCGGCAGCTCCTGCACGATGTCCGTGTAGAGCTGCAGCGTGCAGCGCGTCAGCCTGTCGCTCACGGCGATGATGCTCTCGTGAAACACCTAGAAACGGGGAGGCCCAGTGTCGGTGGTGGATGGTTAGAGGCACACGTGGCCCATCCACGCGATGGAGCATCGCTCGGCCGTGAACAGGAACGGAGCCCTGCCAGCGCACCGTGCGGGGAGCCGGAGCACACGGTGCCGGGGAGCAGACTGGGGGCTGCCAGGGCAGGAGGGCGGGGGAGGGGGTGGAAACCCCTAGAACTGAGCAGTGAGGATGGCTGGAAGCCACTGTGAACGGACTAAAGGCCGCTGAATGATGTCCGTTCAGATGGTTCGGAGAACTAATCTTCGTGCCGTGAGTTTCACCGGGATTTTTTAAGAGGAGATAAAAGTTATCACAGAGAAACCCATTGTCTGCTTCTGGGGCCCCCGTCACTCTGACAAGTCCGCACGGGGTGAACCACCCTCAGTCTGGGTTTTGCGGGTGCAGACTGTGCAGTTTGGAAAGCAAGTGCCTTCAGGTGGGGCAGGAACAGGCCCAGTGCCCACCGGTCCTGCTGAGCCCCGGCCGTCCCTCAGATTCGCCTCCTGGCGGGCCCTGAGGACCCTGAGTGTGGGGCCGTCAGAAGGGACGGGCCAGCCGAGTAAACGCATGGGCTGCACTCGTGGGGACAAGCCGTCAGCAGGACAGCAGCAGTAACGCAGCCACTGGCACCTGCGGTGAGGGCGCCCGGAGCTCACGGCACCTGCAGCACAGCGTGGGGGCGGCGCCAGCACCGAACCCGGGCGATTCGCTGCTGTAACTCAAGGCCACAACCCAACTCCCAGGGCCGAGGCGCTTCGGCCTCTGAGCCCCTTTCCTCATAAAATACCTCCTTTTATGAGCGCGCGGGTGTGAGGATGCATACAATGTGGGCTGATCACACTCATTTCCCTCCTGGTTTTGAAAGAAATAACACGTTCACAGGCCCCGAAGAGCACCGTGGGCGGCCGGCCTCGTGCCGAGTGCACACGTCGCCCACGCCCTGCCCCACACGAGGCCGTTAGCTAGACGGCGAGGACAGCGGTTACCGAGGTGTGGCCTCTCAGGATGGAGTAGTAGATCAGGTGCAGAGACATCTCCGAGGGGAACGGCACGTTGAAGACGCTGAAGAGCGAGAGGAACCGCGGGTCCACCTCGTTGCGGCCGCCCCCCGCCTTGCCCATGGCCGCGACGAAGCCGAGGTCTCGGATGCTCTTGCAGTTGAGCTCCTTGCCGCGGTCGTACAGGAAGCCCTTCTCCAGCAGCAGCTTCAGCAGGGCGATGGGCTGCTGGGTGCCGTACTCGTCCACCTGGGGTGCAGAGAAGACGGCGACGGTGCCATCGCCTCGGCCCCCAGCACGCGGGGCCGCTCCACAGGCTGCTCGGCGTTGGCAACTGCGCAGGCATTGGCCACGGCGCCCCCGAGGCCAGGCCCGTGGGGCGGGGCCCGCAGGGTGTGCTCCTCGCCACGCAGCGCCGATGCCACAGGAGCTGCTCAGTAAACACGCTGACTGAATGGATGGGCGGAGAGACATGTGGATGGATGCATGTGTAGAGGGACAGATGGCTGAGTGATAAAGGAATGGCTAAGTGGGTCTGTGGGTGGGTGCATGGACGGATGGATGGCTAATAGGTAGATGCATAAACAGATTCATGGGTGGACAGATGCATAGACGGATGGATTGATGGGAGGAGGAACAGACACATGGACAGATGTACTGATAGGAGGATGGACAGACACATGGACAGACGGACTGATGGGAAGATGGACAGATGCATGGACAGACGGACCGATGGGAGGAGGGACAGATGCATGGACAGATGGACTGATGGGAGGAGGGACAGATGCATGGACAGACAGACCAATGGGAGGATGGACAGATGTACTGACGGGAGGACGGACAGATGCATGGACAGACGGACTGATGGGAGGAGGGACAGACACAGGGACAGATGGATGAATCCTGCTTTGAGCAAAGCCCTTCCGGAAGGCAGGCTTTCGGGAAAGGATGGTGCTGCCTAGGTGAATACATGTGCAGCCCAGGACTAAGCAGCTTTGCCCTTCTCAGGCTCGCGCTCCCATCCCTGGTAAACCTGGAGGGACTCTGGGGACGTGCCTGCCCGCAGGCCTCCATGTACGGGGGCCGGGACCAGCGTCGTATGAAAGCACAGCTCATTGGAAACACCTGCTCAAGCACACGCTAGAGGGAGCCGAGGAACCCCGTCCCTGCAGACAAGCCCCTCGAAGAAGAACAGCCCAGGAGTCCCCAGAACTGTGCCCTGCGCATGCAGAACGAGACAGGTCTCCTCACACGCGCTGTCACCATGCATGTGCGCACACACACACACATACACACACACGCACACCAGCGCACGGCCCCCCCTCCCCGCCCCATGAACTCCCACGACCTTGGGCATATTCATGTCGTCCATGAACACCAGCAGGCGTTTTCCCATGGGGGGGCCGTAGGTGTCCTTGGTCCGTTTTTCCACGTTTGCTTCTAAATTTCTCTGGATGTCCAGGGAGGTGGTGCGGGAAGAGAAATTGACCATCAGCACAATCTGAAACAGGAAGAGAGGGTTCCAAACGATAAACCATAAGCCACCGCCTCTTTCACCGACGTCACGGTATCGGTGGACCTGCCTCCATAAACCAGGGTGTCTGCACTTCATCCACTTTAAGTGGGAGCGGGGATCTGGCTTCCCTTGGGGACAACGTGGCCCAGGGCTCATCACCTCCGAAGAGTCACTGAATGTCTGAGGCCCCTTCTCCTCGGTGGGTGCCGGGCACTCCACAGGGCGGTGCGAGAGGACACGCACAAGACAAAGCGACGTTCAAGTGGAGGCTCCTCCCTTCCTGCCGCGTGTCAGGCCACGCACGAGCCATGGACAAGCTCTGGAGCCTTCCTCGGGCCCAACTGCCAAGAGGAAGGGGAGGGCGGCCCCGGACCCCGTGTGCCCAGGGACTCGGGCCTCTGCTTCTCAGAGAATCACTGGGAGTCAGGCCACTGATCAGTAGTCCCCAGGCTTCGGGCAGCAGAGTCGCCAGCGGGCTCGTCCAGGTGGAGGAGCAGTGCTCAGGGGACGCTGCTGGACTGGAGGACCACGGCCTCAGATGGACCCTCCAACCGAGGTGCCCCGAGCACATGCGCACACCAGCTCCCGACAGCGACCCTGTGCAGAGTGCCTGTCGGCCCGTGGGCCCCCGCAGCCGAGTCCCAGCAGAGGGCACTGCGGAGGTGGCTTCTGAACGCGCCTCCCTTGGCCTGACCCACAAACCTGCAGCTCGGGCTGCGAACACCCCTTCTGTGCCCCCCCAGGATCGCTAACCCGTGCTGCATGCGTGGGGTGTGAGCGAGCCTGACCCGCTGCGAAGGCGCTGACCCGCGGCCACCTCCAGGCTGGGTCGATACAGGAATCACTTACGTTAGTCTCTTCGCTCAGGTTTTTGAGGAAGTTCTGGGTGGTGGCTGTCTTCGAGGTGCCAGACTCGCCGACCAAAAGAACGGGATGCTTGATCTTGACCATGCGCTCCAGCATCCAGGCCGTGCGGGTGGTGTCCACCGTGTGAACTGCGGGACATCCGGGGGGAGCGTCAGGGACACGCCAGGGGGCGAGCGCCACGGGGCAGGGCCTGGTTCTCACTCACCCAGGATCTCAATGAACCTCCTCTCACGGGAGTGCACGTACTCGGGCACCAGCCTGCTCCACGGGATCCACCGCTTCTGGGCGGGATCGAAGTGGAAGTCGTACAGGGTGGGGAGCTGAGCTGCAGTAAACAACAGTCCACGCCACTCGGGTCACAGACATGGACACGCACCATCGGCCCCGGAACACGCTTGCCATGAACTCACGCCACTGGCTCCCGGGACAGCGGCTTCCTTGAGAACTTCCGACGCACCCACCCCCTCCCCACACAGGCAACCAGCCCGGGGAGCCGACCCCCTCACTCTGCACACACACTGCGCGCCGCGAGCCAGCGCTGCCCGGCCCCTGGGCAGACACTTGCTGAGCCCCCTCCCTGGGATGCAACAGTGGGAGGCCGCCCTGGTTCCTAGAGCAGCTGCTGGTGGGCTGGGTGGGGAGAGAGTGGCAGGTCAGCAGGCGACTGGGTTCCTACCTGGCAGCTCCCCGGGCCGGGCCCACACCTCGTCCAGCTCGGCAGAAGGCAGGGAGGCGAGGCGCTTGATGCACTCGTCGAACCGGTTGCGGCCGAAGTCCAGCAGGCAGGCGCCCAGCGAGCAGTACAGCGCCTCCAGGAAGAAGCACTCCAGCAGGTCGGGGTCCTCTATCTCCCCTTCGAGGAGCGCGTCCAGCACCTTGGTCAACTGGGTCACCTGGTGCACAGGAAGTGCCCAGTCAGCATGGAAACCCCCCACGCCCAGCTTTGGCCACGGACCGGGGCCCCAGGCTCTTGAGCGATGGAACACGCCGCGTCCGGGCTCAGCCGGAGGAGCCTGCCTCGCGCAGGACCAGCCTTATGCGCGGGCTCGTCCTCACCATGTTCAGGTTCGTCTGCGGGACTATCATCTTCAGCTTCTCTCCCTGCCTCCCGTCCACAATGCCCTCCACGATCACATCTATGAGGTAGGGCACGTACTTCTCAAAGAGGTTCTGCAATTCGCTCTGCTCCACCTGCAGGGGGCAGAGTTCCAGGCATTCCCAAGGGCTCCCGGGAGGAGGTGGGGTAACAGGTCCCATCCGACAGAAAAGGGGCTCCTTATCTCAGAGCTCAAGTGATGAGGCCATGGTCACCGCGTGGCCATTGGCCATGATGGGCATGCACAGAGGTCCGTGGCTCTGCCCCTTCATGCACCATGGCCACTTCCATGCCACAACGGCAGAGCTGAGTAGTTACACAGGAAACCATACAACCCACCACGACTGAAATGCTGGCCTGGTACCCTTTACAGGAAAAAGAACAAACATCAACCCCAGGTCTAGATGAGCAAAATCATTACTCAGCTCACGGCTGTGAGCTACCTGGGAACCCAGTAAGTGTGTCTTGATGTTTCCATCTGATTTATTGGAAACGTGAAGTGCCTAAGACTATGAACCACAGGTCCCGGTCAAGGTCATGGCCTTCAGCGACACCCTCCGGGGCTATGCGAGCCCAGCCAGCCACCAAAGCTAACGAGGAAGCTGGCGTCAGAAGCGACTTCACCTTGTTCTGTATTTGCTGAAGCCATTTCTTCCAGTAGGGCTTGTACTTCAGGTTCTTGGGGTCCACGTAGACCATTCCACAGCGGGACACGGTCGCGGGGGAAGCGTACTGCAAGTCTCCCACCTGGAGGAGGAGGAGGGCTCACAGCTGCGAAGCCACACGCAGATGAGCAGCGCTCACGCGGCTCCCATTGAGCACTGAGGGTTATCATGGAGATTAAGGTCGCCGATGCATCACCTTCTAAAATGTCCCATTACTATAAAATTAATGTGAAAGTTAACAGGCTGTGGAATATCTGACAACAATAAAAAAAAGTATAAAGAGGGAAATAGCTTAATCTCAGATCCCACCACCAAGAAACAGACATTACTGTGGAGGACTTGCTTTTCAGTCTTTTTTGGTTCCTGTTTAACATAGCTGACGTTGGGTAGTATAAACCGTGATAACTATGCACCTAGAGCAGCAACATTAACACGTATCCCCCTTTCCACGGACAGACGCAGCTCTCTCTGCCAACAGGACCACGGCCGGCACAGACAGGCTGGAATGGCCGTGGCCACAGTGGGAGCAGGTCCCAGGCCCACAGCTGTGATGCAGACTCAGGCTGTGACAGCAACTTTGAAAAACGAATGAAGGTAAGATAAGAGCAAATAGTGTGGGAGAAAAAGCAAGGCAATGACAAACTCCAGGCAAAAAAAAAAAAAAAAAAGTCTCTAAAAGAAAGTCAATGTAATCAGTGTCAGTGACTCTCAGTAAAGACAACGGTTCCCACAGGCATGTGAGTGCCGCCTGCCGTGTGACTGACTGAGCGATGTCGTGTTCTGAGCGGGAGCTGATGGAATCGGTCAGCAGGTGACTATGTGACCTGAAGCTGACAGAGGAAGAGGAGCTGGCTAAGTGTGTACTTACAGGCACCAGGGGACCCGTCAGAGGAAACACGTATGTGCCCTACCTGGTTTTGCCCAGGGGTCAGAGCATCTGCCCTTGGACTGAAGGGTCCCGGGTTCGATTCTGGTCAAGGGCATATACCTAAGCAGCAGGCTCCCTGGCCTTGGGTGGAGGCACGTGTGGGAGGCAACCCATCGATGTGACTCCCTCACATCAATGTTTCTCTCTCTGACTCTCCCTCTCCCTTCCACTCTCTCTAAAAAAATCAGCGGAAAAAAGATCCCCCGGTGAGGATTAACCAAACAACAACCCCCCATAAAAAAGAAGACCCAAGCGTACGCAGCAGCCAGGGCTGAGATGCAGTGGAGAGGGGGAGGGGAGGGGGCAGGGCATAGAGTGTGCTCAGCACGCACTCTCCTGCCTGCTCTGAGCTTCTGCAATCACCGAGCCTTAGTCCTGCTTTAACGAACAGCAAGACTTCTGTCCGAGTGAGCTCTCTGCCACTCGCCTCGAAGAGCAGGGCACAGTGTGCCTGCAGCCGGATGCGCTCGCCGTTGGCCAGCGTCAGCAGCTTGTTGTCATCCATCACGGAGTTCATGTTCTCCACCCACAGCGCGTCCACATCGCCGTCAAACAAGATGTACCTGCAGCGCCGACCAGACGTGAGCCGTGAGCCCGAGCCCGGGTCCCAGCAGCTCCCAGCCCTGGGGCCTGGCGGAGCGTCCCTCCCCAGAGACTCACTTCCGCTCCTTCTTGTCCGTCGGCTTGTTGATCTCCCTGAAGATGTTGGACAGCACGCCGTCCGTCCAGTCGCGGGTGCTGGGGTCCAGGATGCCGTAGAGCTCTATGACGCTCACGGCCTTGGGGTTCAGGATGTACAGCTTGGTCGTCAGGCCCAGCCTAAGTCAGAGGAGAGGCTCGGGGGGGCTGAGCGCATCGGGACTAGATGCTTCGATCTGACCCGGAATTTAAAATGCGGTCCACACCCTCCCCTGGGCTCCCACTCCTTGCGAGGCAACTACCTTCCACCAGAACCATGGCCCCAGCACAGGGAAGTCCACACCGGAAGCCTGGCTGTGCGTTCCGGGGACAACGGGAGGCTCATGTGTACACACACGTGTGCTTGCCCTGTAAACTGACAGCGATAACCGAGGAATGACACGCAGGGTGCTGGGCACGACCCGCCTCCGATCAGGAAGCCCCTGCGCTCTGGTTCCTCCCGTTAGGGCTCAGACCAGCGATGAGCGTGAAAGTCACCAAGATGCCCGGCTCAGCCCGGGCCCTGCTGCCGTGTCGGCAGCACCGAGGCCCTTCTAGAATCCAGCCCCGCTGAGGACACGGGGAGAGGCGCCAGCCCATTCACTAGGAGACATCAGGCCACCGCAGGTCCGTGACCTTGAGGAAGCGACCTTAGGAGTACGAGGTCACTCTCCCACCAGCGCCTGCAGGGCTGGCGGCGACGAGACCTGTGGGGAGGGGACTCTCTCTGGTCCCGCTGATGCCCTAAGTGTTTCTAATGCAGGGAGGCCTGGCTGACACCTGAACACCAAGAAAACATGACTAAGTTACCTTTTGAAAGAGCCTCATACGAGAGTCTGTGAAACACTCAGTTCACAAGCAAACCATTCAGTCTGAGGCACAGGAGTCACTGATCGCCCTCTAACACGGTAAATAACCCGGCAGTGAGACAGGGAGGTGCGACGAGATTAAAGGGGTGTTTGGGACAAGTTTAACCGGCCCGGGAATCAGAGTGCAATGAGGGGCGGCAGCACCACCACCTTCCCACGTC